TAGTCGTAGAAAATGCAACCCAAAAAAAAAAAAAAATGCCATGCGTGAGCTGACGCCCAAGAATTCCTCGCTGAAACTCAAGTATTCCATCATCAAGCCTCTCACGCATCATCAATCACCCTCACATCTCACAAAGCAAACGTGAACCGAATGGCCTCACCCACCTGCACAATTACGAGGCCCCCTTTCCTTCTCCTTACCATCGCGGTTCCCTCCGCCCACCACCCGACATCACCCATCGCCCTACTATTCGTAACATCAATACCAACCTAGGCCACCTCAAGAAGGAAACGCACAATGCCGTAGGTGGTGTTGAAAAAAAAAATGCCTCCCACCATCCCATCCCATCCCCCTTCAATTGCTTCTCCACCCGTGGCGAACGGAAAGCCGTGGCGTCTGCAACCGCAACCCATCAGTCATCCTCGAAACACCACCGACTAAACCGAACGAAGCGTCGATACCATTGCCGAGTGTCCATTCGTGCAATTGCAGTTCGAGACTGGTCTGATCTCTAGGCATTCCCCTTCCCCCATCTGCGCCTCATTTGTACATTGCGCACCACAACCCGCTCGCCTCGACAGCGATATCCACCTCCAGTAGAGAAGCGCCGAGATTATGTCAAGACTCAAAACCTCCTCGTCGAGAATGGCCCGAACATCCCCGAGTTTAAACTACCATTCCCAGATAACCTTGCACGCCCACACATCCATCATCAAAAGATACAGTCATGGAAACACCAAACTTCTCCACCAGCATCCCATCGCCACTGCGTGGTTTTGACAAACATCAGACGAGAAGAGGCATACGTCCGCCCGCTAGACTTTTTACCCCATCCCGTAGCCCAACAGATAGCATTCGTCTCCCCAACGCCCGCCGTGACAAGAGCTTTAGTGGTCCATACCCACGATACCAAACATGAGAACGGGGATCGTTCACCAACGTTCCCCGGGTCGCCGAATCTGATCTTCATTTTTACCGCCGTTCAGGCTCCCGGGGTCTAACGAACCCATCCATCCCCGTCCGTGTCCGGAAGCCGGGGAACCTACGATAATTCAACAAACCCTTTTCCCCCCCGCAAAATCTAATCCCCATGCGTCCGTGTCCCTGGAAGCCCATCGTATCCAAGCTATTAGTTAGTTACAAGAAATAAACCAGCCGCGAAAAGTATAACCAAAACAGGGTTAATAAGACTCAAGGACCAAGCTTCGCTACAAGCACTGACTTGAAAGCCTTCAACTTAATCCCCGCAAAAGCTTGTCCGAATCAGATACAGAGACTTTTGCAACATGCCAACAATGCTCCCTCCCCCATCGTCGGGCAAAAAACCCCCTTGTCAGACTTTGACTCTGCATCTCGGAGCCGGAGGGAGCATGTAAAGTGGCGTCGAAAATGTCAATCAAACATGTTATTCTCAACTTGCCCAACCTGCCACCACCCAATGCGAATATTGTTTACTTTTTCTTCCCCAGAAAATTCAATTCCATCCACCGCCTATGCAAACGTTATCCCCTCAACGACCGTGCAGTGCATTCCAACGTCCAAGTTCCATGTCAACCTTTTACCGCTCCCCCTCAACCAACGCACGGTGACAGCTGAACACAAAACACTAACAAACCCCAGAGCAAAATATGCCCTGTCCGTCCGGGTTCAGGGTCCTCAAAGACCGGGGAATGCAGCCTCACTCACCTGGCTGTGTATATTCCCCGTCAAACCATCAAGCCCGGCATCGGAGGCTGATAACTCTCTTTACCATCCCCATCCGTGCTGTTGTGTCACATCTCTCGTGTTCCCGGAAAGACTATCCCCAAGTTCCTTGAATACTTTGTGGTGTAAGAAGCCCGCCTGAACTTGCCTCTCCCCGTATCACTACCCGCCGGAAGAGATGCAGTGTATACTGCGGCCTGCCGTGTAAATATCGCGCCATCAAACGGTGCGACTCCAGTACGATGTCTTCTCATACCCCATTCAATCGTCGGCGACCCGATGGATCCGTTATATCCGCCGATTCCACTCCTCCCAAGCTCCTCCCAAGCTCCTCCCCGAGCCCACTCTCCGAGAACCCCGGAGGTCCCACGATATCTCGTCCCGCGTGTGGTGGTTCCACCGACAGCTGTTGAAGCCGCGTCGATTAACAGACCGATGATGCATCGCATCGTTCAGCTTCCCAAGCTGTCGACCACATCCATTGCCATGCAACTCTCGCGGTGCATCTAATTTCTCACACCCGTCATCATGCATCACGCACCACCTTGGTGAATTCCAGAACCAACAGGGCCCGCAAGCATTGAGCCTGGCATTCCTCACCTCACGCCCGTCTCCTACAATCTCACTGCTCAGTGTAAATCGGTCTAGACCGTCAACGCACCTCTGCAAAGTGACAGAACGCACGTATGGAGTATTCCCACAAAACCTCTTCCCCGCGTTATGTTCACATCAGAGCCACAGACTGCTGAAGATCCCGCCCTCATCCAACACATCATGTCTCGCCGCGTCAAGCGTTGTCTCGTGCTTGTCTCGCCCTACTCCTCACCATATCTCCCGTCGGTCGCGTGTTAGTGACGACTGCAACTGCAACTGAACCCCTTTTGCGCTCCTGCTGTCCCATCTACCTATCCTTCCCCGCGTAGCAGGCAGGGTAACAGCAAACGGGCGCCATCTCCACCCCCCTCTGATGCCCTCTGCATGCAGGTAGCTTTCCACGTCGTGCTGACTGCCTCGACTGTTCGAGTGCTTCAGCACGCTCACAAACGCCTATCCAATTCACATGTCGCTCGTCTCGAAATAGGTAACTCCATATTGCCTGCATGCCTGCTGCTCTCATCTAGTCTCCCATATCCATACCTGCTTTGTCATCGCAGATACGGCAAGGCAAGGCCAACGTAGCAACGGCCGATGAGAAAACCCCGCTGCATGCAACCCGGGGGAAGGAGCTGCAGTCTCGTCTTGTCCCAGACGCAAACTCGTCGCCGCGTTCGGGACGCTATCGACGCGGGAGCACCGGATTGGCAATCCTTTCCATACTGGTAACCCTCTTTCCCTCAACGACCTCTGGCACCTAAGCATCCAGTGCCACCTACTTGTCTGCTGGTAACTGCTACCAGCCAGGCACTACGCCAGGCAGAACATCCAGCCACCATGAAGAGGCACGCCATATCCGAGAGAGGGGTACCGCCCAATCACACGGTCCATGAGGCTGGCTGCTAAGAAAAGAGCCGCTGGGTTCGACCAAAGTCGAGTTGGTGTGCTGACGGCGCGGCCCCTGTCCCGCGACTCTGGCTGCGGCCGTGAACATAGAATCGGTACATGATTACCTACATGCCCTTCATCTCAGAGCTCGAGCTGCTGCTACTACGGCCAGAGCTTCCTATAGGTAGTGCCCAGAGAGCAGCAAAGGCGGGGTCGATCTGGAGACTGACTTGCACCTCCACCCTCAACATCGCAGTGGTGTTTCCAATATGGAAGGCTGCAGGGAAATCCTCCCCATCAAGCTGCATTGCGGTCTGCATAACAGCCTCAGACGAGGCCAAGAAATGCCCACCCGTATTATCAAGAGAGATATCAAGTATGGTTGATAATTCCCGAATCGTGCTTCAACCATGAAGACATCGCAATTCCCCCGCTGCTGCTAGGCCTCGCATACGCGTCCGCGACTCACCGATGTGGATATCTGGTGTGGATGCGTGGAGGACGAAATCAGACTCTCCAATGTCCCTGCCGTGTTGCCCACAGATTGCCTGCAAGGCGTCAAACCAAACGCCCGCTGGAATCAAACCAGACTGGTTTGCCATCCAGACTCTTCCCGCAAATTTCCATTAATTCCACAGCAGCGAGTACTCGAGATGGCTGGCGTGTAACGTATCCTACTACCAAGCTTAGCGCAAGACATCCGCAAACACTCCCCGCCATTGACTATCAGCCGTACAATCTATCTCTCGTCCGTAGCTGAAGATCAGTTCCCCAGACTACCCCAGGTTCCCAGCTCCAGGAGAGGAAAGCCAGTGTTGAACAAGGAAAGGACCCTGAAAACCAAACTCAAGCTCAAACTTGCAGACCAGTCTTGATTGGGGTCAAGTTCATATCTACTCACCCAACACCCATGCCGTGTGTGTGTGTGTGTGTGTGTGTGTGTGTGTGTGTGTGTCCGTCCAGAGTTCGGCGACGAAACACACACACCTCCCTCCCTAAAACGGCAAATAAGCATGCCTTTCTTGGTCTCCGGGAGGCCCCAAACAGGAACACATCTGAATTGCCGTATTCTGATATGCCCCCTTTGCTCCATCCGGCGCCGCTCCGAGGGAAACTCAGACGCCATGACAACAGCGGTGAACCCAGCCGACCACTCCGCTTCGGTATCCCGCCACCACGTCGAGCAAGCAACACCTCAACACAAACGCCTCGGACGATTTAGAAAAGCACCGGTCTATGGGCGGCAGTCGACGCCCAAAGAAGGTCGTGGGCTTGAACCATTGTCCAACGTGGTATGGTACTGGAGAAAACGTCCGTGAGACCCCAAGTCTCGTCTTAGCGCCTGGCCCGCCTCCCCGCTTGCTCCAAGCTAGACTTGGGGGGACTAAGGACGATACTGAAACGGTCTCTTCGCTGCTCTGTGCCACGGTACGCCGTGGATATGCAAGGTCGATATGGCATGGCACCGGGGCTTTCACGTCGTCGTCGCAGTAAAGGTTTGTGGGGTAGCGATGCGAGACGCTGGTTGGCTGGACGAAGAAGTCATCTCTGCATGTCGTCTCATCAACGGGCATGGCATTGCCTGGGAGGAAACCGCCCGGCTGGTTAGATGATATCCGCGGCGAGTCGTAACAAACCGCCATGTCATGATCCTCGTGCTCCGGTAGCTTGTCATCCATCATGACTAGCGAATAGGTTCATCATGGTGTAACATCGTCATTGCTCTACACCCAGTCAGCCAATGGTTAGTACCAATGAGGTGTATATGAGCAAACCAAAGATACCATTGCATTGCCAGCGAAGTCCTTGCAACAATGCCTCATGAAGTAAGCCGGCGACAGCCCATATTGATGCCACCAGAGTCCCCGAGGCTGACTGCATGCTGTGGGCGTGAAACGGGCAGCAAGTAAGTCACCGAACCTCGAGAATGCGGGGTAGTTATCTACCCTCCCATTGGTACGATATTGGAGAATTACGACCTCAGCGAGCGGATGTTGATGGCAAACATCATGTTTCCTCATTCTAGATTCGTTCCCTGTTGTGCAACATCGCCGGTGAACGTCTGGACAAAGCCCGAGGGTCGTGTGCTGGCTAATGTTGTGCAACTCTCCACTGAAGCAATGAAAAGAGACCATCCGAAGACCCCGTCGAGGACCTCTTCCGGAAGCAAAGGGTGTAGATAGTGTAAATGGAGGTTGTCAACTTTCCCGAATTAGAGAAGTATGATGTGACGATGAGGAACGTATTGTGAGGCGGCTGGTAAGCCAGATGAAAAGGGTCCAGATGGGAGCTTCCGTCTCACTACTTCGTTGTGATACCAGTTGTTGCTCAATTAAGCTTCTGTATTGCGAGTATTGTGTCGGATGACCAGTCTCGCTATATCACTGGCGAATCGGAAAACCTTCCTGAAGATGCTGTGCTCGGGAGTTCCAATTACTCGGAAGGCCAGGACATCGGTGCCGCTCTCAAAGAGGTCGAAGAAAAAACTTTGTTTATCTTGTCTTGCTGGACTGTGAGATCGTATCACAGCATGTGTACACGCAAGTCGCACATATCTTACCTGTCTAGATATCAGAGTTGACAAGTTCACCCCGCTGCCTCGGGCCAGTCGTGTTGCTACAACCGACTGACGTGTTAGATCCGACGTTGCAGGCTCGAAAGATCACGAGATCTTTGACATCTTACGAATTTTCCTCATCTGCCGTCCGAGAATTAACAGCTCATGCACCCTGCCGGCTTCATACCCATCGGGTTCTCGGTGCGGCGTCGGCCGGGCATTCGATGGTCTGCATGGCAAACTGGAAATGCCATCTTCGGACCGTTGGGAAAGCTTGGAGTGATCGCTCCGGAGGCGTGCTTCTTCACTCCGGCGTGCACGGCAGGAAAGTTACCGTGCGGCAGACGCCCTCGCGTGGTTTGAGGCATCGTGAAGATGCTTCTGGCTAGGTAGACCAGAGTTGATAAAGAGCCTCATCCTAGATCGACACGGCGACGTCCGCGCGGTAGCAAGTGGGCCGCGGTTCAAGTAGGCACTGGCAAATGGACAAAACTCTATCTCGTAGATCTGTAGACCAACAAACACCGTCTGAGGTGAAGAAAGATTGACCAACCATATCGCTCCATTTGAGCTTCCGTATCTTTGAATGAAGACCAGATGGATCTCACCGCTGTTTGATCGAGCGTATGTCCAAGATCAGCATCAAAGTGCTAAGCCCAAGCTCTAGTAGCTTGCGCCTGTAAGATATTGAGGATGTTCCATTGTCCAATAGAACGTCGGCCATCCCATTGAGGGATATTAGTGAGCCGTGTGAGCCAAGACGAATCCAGAAGCATCCACAGAGGTGTCAGCCACGGAAGCCGCCAGTGGCGAGTCTCTTAGTCCGACTGCGGCGGCACGGTGATGGGATTGTGATGGCTGCCCTAACCCCAAAACCACACGTCTTCTTGGTTAGGGCGACATTTCCTGTACATGGGGCGCAGCTACGCGTGGCTCGATGTTACCAGGGTCAGCCACATTACAGATATCGAGTGTTTGAAGAGTGGCGCTTCATTCAAGCCCCGGAGCCCTGATAGATAGGCAAATCTCTAGTGTGTGAGTACCTAGTTAGTGGAGAGCGACGCCTGTTCACGGGATGGAGGTCGCCTGCATCTCAAAACCAAGGCAGAGCCGCTGTGTGGAAGCGCAAGCGAAGTATCTTTAGGAGGCCTGCCGTTTGGGGGCCAATCCCCGGGCGAGAGGTGCGTGTCTCGTCTTCTCAATGAAGCACAAACCGTCTTCAGATTGCACGGCGATCTTGGCTGCAAGGGACTGGTCAAATATCAAGGTCATCGACAGCCTGGAGTGCGGAACTGCCGTTATGCCAGATGCAGTGGACTAGTGAATTGTTTGGCTAGATTGCAATGGTGTTGTGCGGTGTGAGCACGGTGAATGTCTCGGTAGCCTCTAAAAGGTCTCGGTGAAGAAGCGGTCAGGACGGAATGCAGCGCGAAGAAACGTCTACTACGTGCAGCAGCACGCATAGTCGTAAAGATTGTGCCTTTGTGTGCCAACTGCTCAAACAATTTGATTCCAAGAGCACACTGCATGTCCAAGATGCCTAGGAGGGACTCGGGGAGGGGTGAGGTGACCAGGGTGCGGTCACTTGCAGTTTCGCACGGCTTTGTCGATTGCCTCTCGTGTTCGGTCGAGATGGCCATGCCATTTACAGATGCAATTTCCAAAGCCCAGGCGCGGAGGAGGCTCGAGAGAGGCGTCTTGATCGGTTCCATTGGTGGTCTAGATTCATCCTAGAGGGGCCGTTGAGCGAGGGGGCCCATGGGGGTGCCTCTGGAGACTGCAAACCACCCATGCCGAGTCCATCTGGAGTGGACACTGTAGAGACTCCATAGTCATCGATGATCTCAGTTTGAAAAGCTCCGGTATCAAGATTGTACAGCAACCTCTCCGTCTCCGTCTCCATCTCCATCGTCCATATGAGTTTAAGCCTTAGAAGGTAAGTAACTTGAGACCATCGACGGTCGTCCGGGAGAAGACCAGTAGCGGCTACTGTCCGCCGGTGAATGATGGCCAGTTATTCCGCTTTGACACACAGAAAGACTCACTGGAAGAGAGGAAGCATAGCATCTGGTGATGAACTTCCAGTTGTCGACAGCTCTTGCGGGCTCTCTCTCTCTCTCACGGCTCGCTAATAACTGGAAGCCTCAGATAGAAGTGGATGTTACTGCTGAAACTGCGGGCTCTGGCGGACGCTCTTAGCGCACGGAAAAAACCCCTACAGCCCCCTGTAGTCCTGTTTGGGTCTCCATGGCCCCCTTGGTCTCCCCTGTAGCAAGGACGCCAGCACCCGCCTGAGGCGGCAACGGCACGGAGCTGGCAGCGTGGTTGGAGCAAAGAGGCCGGCGTTGTGGGGGTTGGTTAGGGGGCACAAGGGGCTATTGTTGACCACTTTAAGTCCTGCGTACCGCTAAGAGCCCTGGGCGCCTAGTTCATTGAGAGAAAGACTCGATCGTGCACGTTAATGCCCGATGACGGCTGATGGCCGTGAAACGGGTCGCTACGTCATTTAGCCCTCTGCAGGATGCGTAGACACGCGCAACCCATGTACGAGTAGACGCAGTGAAGAGATTTCGTGCGTAGAGAACGGAGCACGCAGTAAGGATATTGGCGGCCTGCCTCTTTTGCCCATGTTTGTGTCTCCCTGCGGCAGTTCCCACTGCCCCCATTCAGGCCTGCTGCGGGGACAGGCGAGCAGGGACGAGATGGAGATTGGAGAAGTCAAGACTCCAAGTTGAGAGCCACGGAGCCCTCTCCCACCAAGGATCTGAACCTCCGGATATGGCAGCTAGTGTAGAGCTGACGTGAAAAGACTCAGGGAGTACAGTCTGAGCTTCTTTGGTGGATACGACCCGTTTGGTGTCCACAGTCTCTCATATTTGACGCAAGGTTGACGGCTCTTTGGAAGTTGGAGCTGTAACTTAGGAGTGATGGGATGAGATGAAGCCGGCCGCAGTGCAGTGTACTCATTATGGACCGAGCCGAGATAATGTGCAATGGTACGTCGAGATCGCACCATGGCCCCATGCTGACTTTCCCATCGCCATTGCGGCTTGCCTTGCTCATGCTGCCTTGCTGTGCTGACTTGCGGTTGGCTGTTCCCGGAGCAAATCCTCCTCAAAGCAACCAACCGCAGCCATGGTTTGTCTTCTCCGCACTCTTGTCAACTCTCGTCTGAGAAAACCGTGGAACACGGGTAGAAAGCTGTGGAGAGGAGGGGTCCCCATGGCTTCAACGCTCTCCAGCATCAAGTTAACAGCCCATCGTCGGTCGATACGCTCTGTGTCCCGGGTTTCTTCCAAGAAATTGCGTTGTCAGATGATCATGGTGGTGACGATAATGATGATGATGCCGCTGTAGAAGACTTTCGAGAAACAGTTTGTACGCCCTCATTTCCCACGAACCTGCTTCATAGGGACGGCGTGGCCTTTACGTGTACCTATCCGTACGCCATCCTCTTCTCGTCTCACCGGCACGGATTGGATGAGGTTTTGGGGCTGACACCGGAGATGGGGGCCAAAATTGCCAATCGGATCCTTGCTCTCGTCTTCATGCTGTGTCTCCGAACAAGTGAGTGTCCCCCGTTCCCCCAGTCTCATCAGGATCCTTTCTTCATCGGTGGCCTTTTCTGGCCCTGGCCGCTGAAGCGAGGGCCATTGAGAGGCCTTATCAGAGCAATGCCATGCCTGCAAACACCAGAATTCCATGGGTATTTTTTTTTTTAATCTGATGGGTGCTACAATGCTACAGCCCTCGTGTGCGAAAGTTGGCAGCACCCTGGCTCATTCTGGCATACCTCGCGCAGATCAGTGGAGCTTGTCGTCGGTCGAGAAACGCCCCGGCCCCTCATTGTCGTATCTGTGAAGTTGCGACGCATTCCGACTTGCGCGGCGAGGTACACCAAAGTGACTCCACTGCTTGAGCCTTGACCGAGTACCGCAACGTCCTCTTCAGACCTGGAGCCGACGACGTGGTCACTGGTGAGAACAGAAGACGAAGCCGTTGTCTCCAATACATATGCACCGTACCTCAGGGGAAAATCAGGGTTTGACCTTCGCAATTTTCCTGCTAAGGGGCTCCAAGCGGCATCTCGAACCCGGAGGGCGCACTTGGAAGACAGAATACCGGATTCAATTAGAGAATAGCATGCCACCTCTGCTTATCGATCCGTCCCGGTGACCTGGCATCATCCCGAGTCTCGTGGGGCACCTCTACTCGCGACCCACGCGGGTTGGCGCCTCCTTCATCCGTTGCGTGGCACGGGAGGAGGGCGTATGGTAACCAAACTGGACAAGTCCGGGTTCTGTGCCTGACGATGAACAGGGCGAACAGCGATGTGTCTTGGATTACAGCCTCGAAATGGGACGACGACGGCGAAGACAAAACGACACGTCTGCAATCACGATCTCCTCACGCCCTCACAGAATCGCATCTCGTAGTGACCGTTGATAGTGGGGATTTCGGCATCGTTTGTGTCAGCTGGCTCTTGAAAGCGTCATTACTTGTTAATTCGTTCGAATCGCCTCGGACGCGGTACCAGGCCGGTGCAGTCAAGATTGATCTCGTGAGCTTTCTTACAGGACATGTGGGATACCCCCACAAACAACCGTGCCATCCGAATTAGGACGTGGGATTTCTGTAAAGCTATCGGGTCTGACGATTTCAGGCTTGGGACATTCTAGCTTTGGCCCGGATCTTGCGGGGTGACTAGGCAGTCGGATCAGTCCCGGGTTCTAGCGTAGGCTAAGTTACAGCCAGATGATTGCTGCATGATGTCTTAAGAACGCGTAGGAATGATTCCAGGCAGGTTTTCTGGGCGAAACACACCGCCCTGGCACGATTCCTTCTTTCCCGGAGGGTTTGGAGACAATCAGGGAAATCTCTAATTGCGTGTGGTCGCATCCAAAGCCTCCCTCTGCGACACGTCAAATAGGAACCGAGCCCAGAGCTGAATGGTATCGAACAGCGGCCTGATTGGTCAATGGTAATTCGAGGTACACGAAGCTTGGGAAACCCTGCGAGTTTGGGAGGGGAAGGCGACTCGATGAATTGTTTGATGGATAGCAGGCTGACGTATACCGATGAGGGAATCGTCGCTTTGTTATCCTCCTCATTTTGACAGAGAAATCGTAATCTCAAGGTGCGAGAAACTTCTGGTTTTCTGGCTTAATCGACTGAGGCCAACAGCGGTGTTACGAAGCAGATGCGGCTGTGGAACTGGAGAAAATAGAAAGTGTTGCTCCCAGCCAGGACAGTGTTGAAGACCCAAAGCCATCCAATCATACATTCTGTTGGCGAAGCCGTATGTAGCACCATAGTTGTGATTGGTCGACGCTTTGGGAACGTCAAGCAGGCCCTCCCGGCTGCAAGGACAAAGCATTCCCCATGTCGA